AGGTTGCTGCTCAAATGCCATGGCAATTGTCATCCAGTTCTTAATTATTCAGAAGGCTGATGTGGTCTGAGGAGAGCTAATTGTATATATTGCATTAATCTTAGCAAGAAAATTTAAAGCATAATCCAATAGGACAGTTATGCACATTGTCACTGCTCAGGACTTAAAGAGAAATGAGACCAAGCCTGTACCATTTTAGGCAACAGCCAAATGAAAATTTGTGTCATTTCAGACAACTTGATGGCTGGTCATCAAAGGCATTACAGATCGTCTCTGATACTATGGAAAAACAGACTGGAGGCTTTGCAAGCCAGAAATTGTGTTCAAAGGCTGATGACATTTTTCTTTTAGGAATCTCATCTTTTGACCATGGACTCCAAAGACATTTTCCCATCCAATTTATTATTTCCACGGCTGTATTGAAGACATGAAAATAGGTATAACAGGATATCTCTATGAAAGATTCCACTCTTATAGGACAGAAGTGATACTTCAATATTTCTTGGCTCTTGGAAATGGAAGCAGTGAGAGATGCTCAAATGAAGTAATTTGGATAAGAGCTCCATCAGTGCATCCCACAGCACGCTCCAACTCGGGGGTATCAATTTTTCAATGGTAATACCCACAACTGTGCCTTCTCCACTAATTCCTTTTTATAAATTACATTATTGTGTTTTTCCTAATAAATTAATTTAGATAATAAGACCTGTCTTAGTCCATTTTGTGTTGCTGTAACCGAATTCCTGAGACTGGACAATTTATAAAGAAAAGAAGTTTATTTAACTCATGGTTCTTCAGGCTGGGAAGTACAAGAAGCATGGTGCCAGCATCTGCTTGGCTTCTGGTGGGAGCTTTTGTGCTGCATCATAACAAGATGGAAGGTCAAAAGGGAAGGGGACGTGTACAGTGGGGCAAAACCTGCTTTATAACAACCCACTCTCATGGGAACTAATCATTCCCACAAGAACTAATCCAGTCTCATAGGAGCAAGGACTCACTCACTACCGTGACAGTGGCACCAAACCATTCATGAGGCTCCACCTCCATGACCCAAACACTTGCCACTATGCCTCACCTCCCAAAACTGCCACAGTGGTGATCAAATTTCAACATGAGTTTTGGTGAGGACAAACCATAGCAATACCATAAACCCAGAAATAAAAACCATTTGATGAAAAGCAAGGCATATTCAAGATGGAAACATATTAATGTAGCTGGAATCACCAGGAGAAGAAAATTAATCTCACAATGAGGTTAAAGTTCTCCTCATCTGAGTATAAACGTTCCCAAGTGTTGATCTGGCATAAAGTCTTGTCAAACACTCTTAAAAGACCGAACAGATGTTCCTAAAGGTCAGTCAACTACATTACAAATTTGGCCCTAATTTATTTTTTTTCTTCCCTGTTTACTGGTGGAGCACAAGTGATAGAAGGGAGGTGGTGGCAGGAGGAGGTGACATCATCATTAAGGGATGAATAGAGGCAAAACAAAAAAATCAATCTGGACTCAGAAAGCAAGGAAACTGAGCCTCCCAAATTGGACGTCCTGAAGAAAATGGCCTACAATGAATGGAAAACAGAAATAATAACTAGAAAATCGTTTTACAGGAAGTCTTCCTTTATCAAGGAAGATGTTTGAACATGGCTGTGGTTAAAATACTCACAAATAAATAATGTTTATCAACAAGAAGCGGTTATTTTCACAAAACAAATAAGAAACAATCACTTCCGATTAGTTTAAAAGAGACTGCCAAACAGAACATACATGGGATTTGATCATCTCACATTTTGGCAGGCAGAAACATAAACATGTTAAGAACCAAACACCATGTTTTCTGCTACAATACATTTTGCCTAAATGGAATTCTTCTACATGGTAAACATGCCTCCCCTTATTCAGCAAAATTCACCCTGAGTCCAATATTATTTCCTGAAAGCTTAATTCCTTTCAATAAGGCACTAAATCATTTTATTACAAACACCAACTACTTTCTTATTGCTGGGAATGGTATTATAGACTTACTTTTTGATATATGCTCCAGCTTTTGAAGATTCTGTTGTAAACAAAATAATCCTTTATGATATTTTATAATATTCCATCTTGTTTATTGCTTTCCAGAATTTCTATCATTAATTAAAGGGCCTTCTTTCACCTCCCCACCGATCCCAAAAACGAATCTAGTCCCCAACTGCCTATCAGAGACCAAATAAAACTCAGTCTATCACAGCGGCAGTGATGGACATGCCAATTTCACAGCGTGATTTGTGCACTCATTTCATTTTGAAAATCACCCTGCCCTCCATCTGTCTAAACCGAATGTCCTGCTTTTTTCAAGCCAGGCCCCTGGAACAGCATCATAGGAAATAAGGAGAAAGACACAGAACAGCCTCCCTCCTGCCCACTTCAGCTGCCATGCTCTCAGGTAACAACACAAAGAGGAGAACCCCAACTGATGCCTGCAGAGATCAGAGAAATTTGGAGGAGGGCAGACAGACCTTTCATTTTTCACACATTTTCAAGAAGCCACTTGATGGTGAATGCTTCCATGATGCAAACACAACTCTGCAAAACAGAGAATCAGGCTACAGATATAAAAGGCAATTTACCATTTCCATGTTCTGTCATCTTACCTTGATTTAAAAGTAACTTACCCAAAGTAACAGCTCAATGTATAAAAATTTTAAAATACTGAGCTCTTGGATATTGTTTCCAAGGGACAAGTGTCAATCAGGCAGACAAAAAAGAAAAGACTTCCTGTTCCCTGATTATCGAGCAGCATTAGCTAGCATACCTCAACTCAAGTACATTCCTGGGTTGAAGACTGGAGAGGGCTGTAGCTAGAGATTAGGTTGGAAGAAGCGTTTTGGAGTACAGTTATAGTGGCCTTTGTCAGCTGCTTTCTCTCGTGATTTTGAGTGGTCCAGAGCTGAACACTCAATCCCTCTGAAATGGATGCAGTTTTTCCCTTTCTTGGTATTGATGTAGTAGGAGATACTTTGGTCCCATTCAGAAGAACACAGCTATGGCAAACTTCTCAGCAAAAGAGAAGAAAGTATAAGTACGTGAAGTCAGTTACTTTACAGTTTAGCATTCAGATGAAGTCTCTGTCTAGCTGTAACAGGTGGTCATCCCATGCTAATCACTTCCTAACACTTGCTCACAGCTACGGCTCAGGCCAGGAAGTTCAAATTTCTACTGCCCAAATCAAGCTAGTTATTTGTTTTAATGGGAAAATAACAACCAAAAAAAAAAAAAAAAAGCAAGACACCAATATTTCCTCATAACTGGGCCCATACATGATAGGTAGATTGAGGTAATTCATCAGTCACTATTTCCTACTGAACTTAGCTTTTCAATATAATAGTTCAACCACTTCCTATCTAACTATGTGATCTTGGGCAAGTTACTTAATCTTACTGAGTCACAGGTTCTCCATCTGTAATATGTAGAATGCAGAGAGGTTACTATGATTAGAAATAATATATGTACATAGTCTAACAGAGTGCCATGCAACATTGTTGGTGTTAGCTCCAAAATTTATATACACAAAAGATTTATGGGTAGTACCACTATTGAGGAGGCAGATAAGGTTCCTGCATTGAAGTCTTCGATTACATAGAAAAAACATGCTTTGACTTGGACTGTTTATCTTGGGCAAGGCCAATGATGATCATGGAAGACTATGAAAGACAATGTCCCAGGTCACCAGCAAAGGAGCTATGTATGATAGATGCTCATAAATTATACTTATTATTGTTACCTTGAAAACCACACAATTTGTAATTGCTCCTTTTGGTGAAAACAAAAAAACCTAAAAATAAAAAAATAAAAAACCACACAATTTACCACTACCTCACTGGGATGAACCAATTTTGTATTTTGCTATCTTGTCTACTTCCCGAATTCTTCACTGAAAAATTATATTATTCTCCCACAAATTTTATGATCTCGAGGTCGGTTTAATTTATGGGTATTTTTTTTTATTAGTAATCCAATATAATTTTATAGAATACTTAAGGCCCTAATTTTTCACAGCCCCATCATAGGCACTATTAAATTCAAAAAAATTATACAAAAATAACTCAGGAACATTAATAGCATCTATTCCAAACACATGACAAACAATGAAAGAAAACCCAGAATGTTTTCTTGTACAGTCTAGCAAATATGCATAGACATCATCAAACTAAGAATGCGGGGAAAAGTTAATTTCTTTTGATTTTAACAGAAAGAAAATCCACTTTTTATCAGCTCAATAATATCCAACATATCATTACAAGCCTGAAAAGTAGAACCTGAGCCTCTCTCACACATACCCCACATAAAAGGCTGTCTAATTTATTAGAGTCAAGCGAGTCAGAAAAGTAACAATGCACAGGGAAAGGAGCACATTTCACTCTTGCAATTTTTCCCCTTGGAAAAGACGAGGTCATGCATTTTTCCAACGTTTCTACCTGGTAGTGAAAGTTGGAACACCAAAGCAAGTTTAACATATACTTAGTAATATTCGTTCTTATGGAAAAGGGGGGGCAGGAGAAACTGGGATCTAAAACTGACCCTCTTCCAGTACCAGTTAAGATATACGGCACTGTTTCCCTTTATCAGTCTCTGTAAATGATCAAAATAAGAACAGCTAGTCGCTGCACTATTCGGTTCTTGGAAAGTGTGCCCTCAGGGCACGATAAGAACAACCTACTCTAATTCCAGGGGAATTCCAAGGAGATGTCCCGCCTTTTCCATCGCGTTCCTTCCACTACAAGAACGAGAAAGAACACCATTAGTATCGGCCACGCGATGTACAAAGCTCAAAAACGCAAGGGACATCGGGCGGTAAACCTTCCTCCGCCGCACCAGAAACCTAAGTGGCACAACAGAAACAGCGACCAACCCTCACCATTAACAAGCGGGGAAGGCGGTAATCCTGCATCTCCCTGGGGTGGGTCTGTGCAGCAGAAACTACGCCTCCCAGCATGCAGCGCGGCCACGTCCGACCAGCGGCGCGGCTGTAACGGTGCATGCCGGGAGGAGGAGTTTCAGGCTCTGAGCGGCCTCGGAAGCTTCCTCTCCTTTCCCTAACTGCAGCCACTGCGCAATCTGGAGTCTTCAAAAACCAAACCAGAAATTGAAAGACAAATGACACTGACCCCTTTTTATTCCTAACGGATTCCTGCCGCGCCAAAGTAACCTCCGGGAGGCTTCCGTTTCCGGTTGTCTTGTTGCCGTGGTAACGAGCAAGCACAACATTCCGTGATGGCGGGTCTGAGCCGCTCGCAGATCCCCGATGGAGAGTTTACCGCCGTCGTGTACCGGCTCATCCGGGATGCCCGCTACGCCGAGGCGGTGCAACTGCTGGGCGGGGAGCTGCAGCGGAGCCCGAGGAGCCGTGCCGGCCTGTCGCTGCTGGGCTACTGCTACTACCGCCTGCAGGAGTTCGCGCTGGCGGCCGAGTGCTATGAGCAGCTGGGCCAGCTGCACCCGGAACTGGAGCAGTACCGCCTGTACCAGGCCCAGGCCCTGTACAAGGCCTGCCTTTATCCGGAGGCCACCCGGGTCGCCTTCCTCCTCCTGGACAACCCCGCCTACCACAGCCGAGTCCTCCGCCTGCAAGCTGCTATCAAGTACAGCGAAGGCGATCTGTCAGGGGCCAGGAGCCTGGTGGAGCAGCTGCTGAGTGGGGAAGGGGCAGAAGAAAGTGGGGGCGAGAATGAGCACGATGGCCACGTCAACCTGGGTTGTTTGCTCTACAAGGAAGGACAGTATGAAGCAGCGTGTGCCAAGTTCTTTGCAGCCCTGCAGGCCTCGGGCTACCGACCTGACCTTGCCTACAACCTGGCTTTGGCCTATTACAGCTGCAGGCACTATGCTCCTGCATTGAAGTATATCGGTGATATTATTGAGCGTGGCATCCGCCAGCACCCAGAGCTAGGTGTGGGCATGACCACTGAGGGCATTGATGTTCGCAGTGTTGGCAACACCTTAGTCCTCCACCAGACTGCTCTGGTGGAAGCCTTCAACCTCAAAGCAGCCATAGAATACCAACTGAGAAACTATGAGGCGGCTCAGGAAGCCCTCACTGACATGCCACCTAGGGCAGAGGAAGAGTTGGACCCTGTGACCCTGCACAACCAGGCACTAATGAACATGGATGCCAAGCCTACAGAAGGATTTGAAAAGCTACAGTTTTTGCTCCAACAGAATCCCTTTCCCCCAGAGACTTTTGGCAACCTGTTGCTGCTCTACTGTAAATATGAGTATTTTGGCCTGGCAGCAGATGTCCTGGCAGAAAATGCCCATCTGACATATAAGTTCCTCACACCCTATCTCTACGACTTCTTGGATGCCATGATCACTTGCCAGACAGCTCCTGAGGAGGCTTTCATTAAGCTTGATGGGCTAGCAGGGATGCTGACTGAGCTTCTCCGGAAACTCACCATACAAGTACAGGAAGCAAGACACAATAGAGATGAGGAAGCTGTCAAAAAAGCAGTGAGTGAATATGATGAAATTCTAGAGAAGTATATTCCTGTGTTGATGGCCCAGGCAAAAATCTACTGGAACCTTGAAAATTATCCCATGGTGGAGAAGATCTTTCGCAAATCTGTGGAATTCTGTAATGACCATGATGTGTGGAAGTTGAATGTGGCTCATGTTCTATTCATGCAGGAAAACAAATACAAAGAAGCCATTGGTTTCTATGAACCCATAGTCAAGAAGCATTATGATAACATCCTGAGTGTCAGTGCTATTGTATTAGCTAACCTCTGTGTTTCATATATTATGACAAGTCAAAATGAAGAAGCTGAGGAGTTGATGAGGAAGATTGAGAAGGAGGAAGAGCAGCTCTCTTATGATGACCCAGATAAGAAAATCTACCATCTCTGCATTGTGAATTTGGTAATAGGAACTCTTTATTGTGCCAAAGGGAATTATGACTTTGGTATTTCTCGAGTTATCAAAAGCTTGGAACCTTACAATAAAAAACTTGGAACTGATACCTGGTATTATGCCAAAAGATGTTTCCTGTCCTTATTAGAAAACATGTCAAAACACACAATCATGCTTCGTGACAGTGTTATTCAAGAATGTGTCCAGTTTCTAGAACACTGTGAGCTTTATGGCAGAAACATACCTGCCATTATAGAACAACCCCTGGAAGAAGAAAGAATGCATATTGGAAAGAATACAGTCACATATGAGTCCAGACAGTTAAGAGCTCTGATTTATGAGATTATAGGATGGAATTCATAGTAATGACTGATAATGGCTTTTATCAGAATGCCTTTGTTATATAAATTTGCACTGTTTTATCTATAGCCTTTGGCATCTTTATATTGGTCACATGTTGAACTTTGTAAAACTTTAGTATTGTAACAAAAATAGATAAAACTTGTTTTTAGATTTCCCACAAAGTGAAATATTGTAAGAATTTTGACCCCAGAAGGAGTTAACGAAAAATTCAGAACTCAAGTGGGATGTTGTGTCTATTAGAACTTGTACTGCCTATGTTTCCTTTGTTACCTTTTGTGCTTCAGTGTATCTTGAGGAGCCCTTGTTTCAAGGGTTATATTGTCCAGGAACCAGGCACTATTGTGTCCAAACTCAACAGTACTTAATAGTAAGCTTTTAATAATCATTTCAGAGATTATGTGTTCTATTCTCACAACTTACCCTCATAATTATATGTGTAATGCATATGTTTTATATGGAGTTTAGTATATTTTGGCAGTGTTTTCCAATATAGATAAAATGCTTTAACCAAAATTGTATATGTTATTTTTTTTTTAATGTGCAAGAGTCAGTGTATAAATCTTGTTCCCTTAACATAATTATGGTGCCATGGTGTAGAGACAATAAACAATTATCAAAAAAACAAATTTCCCTGGCTTTCTTTTGTTCCATTTGTTAATGATTTGACTATATGAACAAGATGTACTGTTACTGTTTTTCATAATAAGTTTGTTTTCATTTATCTCTGTGACTAATAGCAGAGGTACCCTGAAAACTCAGTTCTTAATTCCCACTTTTGTGTTTGCAATTTAGTATATGCTGGAGTTGTTTCTCTGCTGTAGTGTCTTGGGTACGGAACAATCTTCCACACTATTCCTATGACCCCACCAAACTCCTCTTGTACCCTTATCACTGATAAAAGGTTAATCCTAAAACCTTATCTCATAGTTTCAAAACGTAATTTCATGTCCACAACACCCAGTAGTTTTCTGGAGTTCCCATTGGGAACCCCACTCACTTCGATCAGGCATTTTTGTTTTCTGAATCCTACAGGAGCTTTACTATTTGTTTCCCCACCCCTTACTCCTTTCTCTCCACAGACATGTCAACCCCAGCTTGATCTGGCTTAGAAAAAAATCAAAATCATTATTAGGTCAAATCATATGAAATTGCTGATTTTGAAAGTTTCCGACCTACAAAACTAGCAATTCCTTATAGCTCAAATAACAGCTTTCTACTGAAAGATAGGGAACCCCTGCCATAATGAGGTTATACATTTTTCCTTCAAGGAACCACTTAGCCACATAGGTATCCAGATTAAGTATGCCTAGCCCAATTCCTCTGCAGCATAACCTGCTGGGTGCTCAAACTCTATTAGAATAGAAAGTTTGGCTTATTGTGAAGTCCAGTTCTTTTGAATTTACAGCATTTTAAAACTTAATTATCTGCGCTGCTATAATTTACCATTGATGCTCTGATCCCACATTTGGAGGACAATCAATGTCTAATAACCTCTTCAATGCATCCCATAGCACATCCCATGTCTGGGAAATGTTCTTTAACAACTTCTATACTAAAAGTGTTGTTGCAGTAGCTCTGCACCCATCTCAATCTTGGTAGCCCCTTAAGATTTAGAACATAAATGAATTGTAGTCTTATTTTCAATAGCCACATTAAAATTCTGGTTTTTTCCTATTTCCTCTAAACCAAACTATTTTCTTTCCAAAAAAAAAAAAAAAAAGCATAAAGTGTAACTAATGTTAATCACCCCAAACAAATGTTTTCCAGATTCCCTTTTGCAAATAGCCTGGCCTTTATTCTGCCACAATTTATTTACCCAGGTGCTGTATGTTTGTGGTTTTCGTGTATGTGTAATTAGCTTTTCAGAACATAAAAAGCTTTTCAGAACAGTTTTAACCCCTTGCTGCTGGGCAGCTGGGATTTCTGGTTAGTAATGCATCAGGAAATCCTGACTGCTCCTACCATTGAGTAAAGGCATAAAGGTCAATCATGTCATTTGTCCCCTTTCTTACCCTGGCTCTCCAGAGAGGCACCCACCCAGATTCAAACTGCTGCTGGCAACAGCAAAGTCTCCAGAATCAGGCTTACAGAGTTAAGAAGCCAAGTGCTGAGGCTTTGGGGAGCCTGAGGAGAGTTAGAGCATTCCTAAGTCCCCTGGCATTTATTGTCTTTATTTTTAGGATATACATCTTTTAAACTCATGTTCAAAGTGCCTTGCTTTGCTTCTTGATTCTAAAAGCAAATGACTTTACAATGACCACCCCATATTTTGCCATTTCAATGAAAGCTTCCATACCTAAAGCTCTGATGAAAAGCTTTGTTCTATACTTTTACAGAATACAGATTAAGTGCTAAAAAGTACTTTTCTTGACACAGAGGTTTCCTTGTATTTCTAATGCTTTTACTCTTAAGATTTCTTCATAATACCTGCATAGTCTATTTTAAAGGGATCGAATATTAAATCCAGTATTTCATAATCTTAGTCAAGCCATTGATCTCCACACACACACACACACACACACACACACACACACACACACACACACAGAATATGAGCATGTGTTTGTGTACAGGTAGCTATATCCATTTTCTCCAACAGGAACAAATATGTGATCTTTCTCTGCAGAACCACCAAACACAGAAAGAAGTGCTTGGTAGTTCTGCACCAAGACTCCTTTGATCAATGACATGACATACCTGCCAAAGAATTTTTATTCTTCATGACAGTCCTTCTTTGAATGTGGCCTCAGTTGCAGCACTGATGTTCACACTAATACCATCTGTGAAGGTCAGGTGTAGTCACTAACTCTCACCCATTCATAAGAAACAGATAACTGGGAACTAGAATGACTAAGGATGGGCATGGGCCATCGGGCAATGAGACAGCTGTAATCATAAGAGATGACACTCCTCTCCCGAGTGGTGATATAGGTATTAATATGTCCAGGTATAGCCTCTCAGGCTTAGAGAAGCACCTTGGATAGAATCCAAATAGAATTGTCATGATAGGTTTGGCCCAAAGTTAGAATGATTTGTTTGTTTATAGAGGGTTATGGGGTAGATGACCAAATAAACTTACCAAAAAGAAATGTGAGATTATAAAGGGTAAATGGCTTGGAGAGGAAGAAAGCTTTAAAGAAAGGAGTAACTTTCTGACCCCTCTGCCCCATACTCCTTGCCTGGACCCATTTTCCTACTGGTGTCCTGGAGGGTTAGCCGTGCTGTAAATCTGACTACATGACTAAGCAGAGTGCAGCTATCTAAACAACCTAACTTTAAAAGGATAATATCACCTTGCATTTCAAGTGAACATCAGCATTTTCAAATACAGTATTTGTTTGTTTCAGGTTCCCTCATCTTTACGACTATGGGTGATCTGGAAACATCTGAGAGGCTGTGCTCCTCTGAGGATGTTCTCTGCACACTAAGGAGCTTCCTGGCATTAGTGTGACATGCAGCTCACTATCCACCATTCACTAATTGCCTCTTATCCCTACCTCTGCGACTGAAGTGGCATTTGGGTTTTCTGTAGTTTTCACTTATTGGGCTATGCCCTTAGTTGTAAGTCAAACAGCCTATTTTGTGATGCGCTAGTAACTCTTGGTGCTTGGTTGTCCAACTACATAATCACTATGACTAACCATCAGATTGCAAACTTATACTTTAATTCTAGCTATAAGATATATATATACAACTTTTTGAGTACTCTAATGTAGCTCAAATCCTTCAGCAGCAACCTTCATTCTTAAATTAGTAGTTTTAAGGAATTATGACTTTCCAAAGAACGTAGATTGTCTCTAGGTTATAATAAAACATTCTTTCGTCTTCAACAGTTCTTCCAATCTCCAGTCTCTCCATGGAAGATGTGTAACTTACAGAAACAGGTTGTCGTCTTATATTTGTAAGTGTAGCTCAAAGAATACCATATTAAAGTTATAAAAATGCTAATTTATTAAGTCCATCAGATACAGCACTTCCTTTTAGGTTTCATATTAAACCAATAAACTCATCAGTGCAGGATATTGTGAATTAAACATTTATAGAGCAAGACTAGCCTTTCTGGCATTTCTATGGCATATGGTCATGGAGATAGCAGTTTCCACTCTGTAGTAGGAGGCTCCATTTCCTTACTTGTGCCCTTCTGTAGAGGACAATAACAATCTACTTTAAAAAGCAGAATTTTTTTTTTTTTGACAGAGAGGGTCTCGCTCTGTTGCCCACACTGGAGTGCAGTGACACATTCACAGCTCACTGCAACCTCAAACTCCTAGGCTCAAGTGATCCTCCTGCCTCAGCCTCCTGATTAGGTAGGACTACAAGTGTGTGCCACCACGCCCAGCTAATTTTCAAATTTTTTAAAGAGATGGGGTCTCACTATGCTGCCCAAGCTGGTCTTGAACTCCTGGCCTCAAGTGATCCTACCTCAGCCTCCCAAAGTGTTTACAGGTTTGAGACACCACTCCCAGCAAAAAGCAGACACAGAAATTCTGTATACATCATAGTCAGCCAGCACAAATTGCCTAGAGCAGTGAAACAGCCAGCACAGTCAGACCTGGCTCCATATTCCAGCAATGCCACTTCCCAGATACTAACAGTAGGTGCTTCTTAACCTAACCTAACTACACTTCAGTTTTTTCACCAGTAAAAAGGGGATAACACCACTTACTTCACAGTGTTGTTGTGATAACAATACTACCTCTTTTCTGGTGTCTGGCAAATAAGGGTGAATTAAAAATTAACACAATAATCAATTCTAGGGTAGTGCTCAGCATTAGAACTCAATCAGAATCACTGAGACTGTGTTGAAAGGGACCTCAGAGATTTTCCTTTTACAAAAGAAGAAATTAAGCCCAAATAGGAAAGTGACTCGCAATTGGTAGAGAAAGTGAAGTACACCTAAAACGTCCAGAATAGAACTCTATCCACTGTGTTCTTAGATTTAGAACCCCACCTTCTCCTAAGTTATTTTACAGCTTTGCAGTGGCAAAATTTTGTCGTTAAAAAAAAAAGAGTAGCTTTGCAGCTCTAATGTTGGCACAATGAGGTACAAAGGATATGGCAGAACTATGCAAGGATGGATTCCAGAGCTTGTCCATCCAATACTAGGCCCAATCAACACACCACGTCAGAAAATGCAGCAGAAAATGAATTTATGAGTCTTTTGAAAAGAAAGACATCCCCCCGAGGCCAAGCACAGGCAAAAGGAAATGTGATGGTAGTTAAGGCCACATTTCTTTTTCTGATAGGG